TGTTAGGCATTACATGTTATGTACTAGGGTCTTGGCAGGAAACAGGTGGCACAGTTGGATAGGGACACTGAGGATGAAGGGCCTATTCCAAAAGTGTGGATAGGATTTAAGGAAACAAACTTGCAACAGCCGTAGGCCTGAAGGTATAAGAGCAGGGAGAGGTCACTAGAACCCAGAGAGATTTAGGAGAGCCCAAGGGGAGCTGTGGCCCGTGTAAAGGAATACAGTTACTCAAAAGTATAAGTCTCAGACTTCTCCCACCCTTTGAGTCTTCCAGTGGCTGAACCCAACTGCTAACTAGAAAGACAAAGAACTCTGCTGGAAGTCATTCTCCAGGGTCCCAAAGCAGAAGGAGAGAAGTGGAGAGTACATCTGGAAGGGCAAATGGAAACTAGCATTTTTTTATTTCGGTAAAAGTACAGTTGATTATATTTCTGGCTGTTAATTTTTCTTATATCTGGCCTCCTTCATTAGGTTATATGGCAGGCCCCTGAAGTCTTCTAAGTTTGCAATTCCTGGGGGAAATATTGGGTTGTCGGAAAAGTCATGACGCACTTTTGCAACAAAAAACATAGAAAAAATACGTCATGACTTTTCCGACAGCCCAATAATTTCACAGATCTTGGGGGTTGGTGCTGATACTGTTTTCTCTCTTATACTGATATATTCAATTGAAGATGTGAATTAAGAGACTGTATGGGGCTGGCCGAGTGGCTCAGTTGGTTAAGAGCTCGCTCAAGAGTTTGAGCTCTGAGCAACAGCGGTTTGATGCCCGGCCCAAGCTGAGGTGCAGCTAAGTTGCCAACAGGTGGCAGGATGGCTCAGCTAAAAAAAAAAAGAAAAAGAAACTGTATGGTCCTTTTTTTGGTCTCCCAGATGGTGAGGTGTACATCTTTTCTAAATGTAAGAGAACAGTAAAAGTATTATATAATATCATGTAATATTAATAGAAGTGATCTAATATGTAGTACAGGTCTTTGACTTACATCATTCTTTTTGTTAGTTGTGTATCCTCTGTTCTTTGCTGTAACATTATTCATGTACCTACTCCTTTAATACATAGGCCATTTAGCTGTGGTAAGCCTGATCACACAAATGAATACGTGGATTTATATCAAAAGAATAGTATCAATTATTAAAAACTTATAAGCTCACAAGTTTTTAATATTTTTATGCAGTCTTATACCTTCAATTGAATTAGTGAGATTTGATTTTAGAATTTTTTAAAAAAATCATTTTTGTTCTTTTCCACTCCTCAAAATCCTAAAAAGACTCATTATACACATAATGAATAAAATTACAAGATTCAGTGGGAAACAAAATAGTATGTAAACACTAGTTATTGATCACAATGTTAAATAAATGTTTATGACCCAGTAAGGGAGTTCAAGCTTATTTATAACCAAATAAGAATAAAATTACTCTAGACACCAATAATCTGCTTTGTTTTTATTTTACGCTCCCCATCTAGGCTCATAATAGTATTCTTTATTGATCTTTTGAATATAATTGAAAATAACTGATCAAAAGACATGCAAAATCTAATATTGGAAATAAATATCTCATTTTTTAAAATTGTTTTTTAGTTACAAAAGTGGTTTCTAATCAAAAACTTTTTTTCACTTTCATTTCCTCCACGAAAATATTTCTCTTTAGAAAGTAAGTTTAGCTTTTATTATCTTTAATAGTGGTTTAAACAATTTCTAAATATCAAAGTCGCTGAAATACTCATATTGTAAGTACATATTTCTACTCTGATTTTCTTATAATGCATTGAAAAAAATTCTGGAACTAGCATTATATTAAAACAGCTCCATGATACTAGGAAATCTTCACTGTTTCTGAAGTCTGTTGTAGCTGTTGTTTAAATTCTTGATAATGTCAATATTTGTCCGTAATTGCTAAATTTAAAAAAGAATAAAGAGGTATTTACAACATCTAATAACAGAACTACTAAAGGATGACAATTATGTGGCTGACATTTTCATAGTTATTCTTTTTGAGAGGTAACAATGGCCCAAACTGTTAACATTAACAAATGTTTGGGCTTTAGCTTTATTTAGTTTCCATTTATAGAGGTTTTAGATCTATTTCCATATTATATTCATACCTTTATTCAAAACATAACAATACAGTAATGCTTCCATTCACTATACAAGGAAATCATATTGGAACCTTCACCTAACCTGAAAAATTATTTCAGCATCTTAGTAATTGAACACACCAAAAACAAGCCAGAAGACAAAAGCACAAATCAGAGATCTTGGCCATAAACAACTTCCAAGGTTAAATTCTCAATTCAGGACACATTCTATACTATTTCCTTCATCTAAGTTTTTCTAAAATTGTAAATCATGCATAACTATCACCCTATAAATCATTGAAAATAAAATTTAATTCTACTTACTAAAGCAGGAAAGTATATCAATACATTTAATAAAAGTTTTCCCCACAAAATAAATTTTCTGATTGATTCCAGCTAATAATAAAAAAAATTAGGCCATTCAATCATCCCAAAGTATCCTATTCTATGAATTATATATGTTATCTAGATTAGTTTTCTTTTTCAAGTTTTTGTAATTGTATACTTGCACCTTTGTCACTAATTCTAAATTAGCTTTTTTGTTTTTGGAGGACAGGAAGTTTGACATACATAGTGCACTGATTGGGATAGACTACAACATTAAATCATCACAATTATATGAAACATATATATATATATATATAATTTCTTGCATGTATTGCGTATATGGTATTTATATATAAAGTTCACAGATGTACACTATGTTGTTGCTTAAAAACTCTAATGGTGGCAATTTAAAGACTGTTTTGTTGCTAAAAAGGGTTTAATACCTACACTGAACAGAGTCCTTCACAAGGTAAATTAACCAAGGAAATATGCTAATTTTGACTTCATTTCCATCGTATTGAATGACTGCATTCATTCTCTTCAGATTTAAAGCTCTTCATTCTACTGTTCCTCAACACTCTTTATAGAATTCCAGCTTGCTTTTCACCTATCTTTTAACAGTTTAACATAGATGACTGGATCAAGTCCATTGTTCCAATTGTATGTAGCTTAAAAAGCTCTGCAGTATTTTACTCTTTTCTTTGTATCTGGCTTCCTTGAGTGCTCTGCTCACTGCATTTTGCTCGTACTCTCTGTTTTCTAAACCCATTTATGCCTGTTCTTTCTGAAGACACTTGTTCATCTGGGAGCTCAAATTGACTTCTCCCCATTCTATTTGCTTAACCAGAAATGCACCATTAAGGTTGATTGAACACTTTTAAAGCACTTCATCAAAATGAAAGGCCATAAGAAAGTAGGCTACCAAGTGTTTGTAAATACCTGTTTTCAGCCAAATTGATAGGAAGGAATAAAAAAATAGTTGGAAACTTAAAAATGTTATTGATATATTTTTTTTACAGATTAGTCTTTTTTGGTTGTTCTTGAGGAACACCCTTGTAAAACATTCAGGGGAGAAGAGGCATGATGGGCAGCATTATGTTATAATTAAAGGTAGAATAAATAGTAGAGCCCAAATACTAAAATTATCTAAAACGTTTTCTAAAAAAAATAATGTCTTACACTAAGCAAGATATAAAACATAGGTGCATTGTAGGTGCATGATTAAAATTTACAGCTTTTAAGCCACATGACCTTAATTTTTTTCTATTTAAAATAGAAATATTGTTATTTAAAAACTAAATGTAACTGTAAATGGTTTACAAAACCATAAACCATAAATGGTATACAAAAATAGTAGGATGATCACTGTCTTTTTCTTTTTTGTAATGTTTAAAAATGGAACTCAGCTGGTATGAAATATTTTAAACATTTGGAAGTTAATTAGAATTGTAAAATTAAAAACCAGATGAAAATGTAGAATACTATTTGTGAAAAATACTTCACATCCATTTTTATTTTAATGTTTGATCATAATGTTATTGATTTTGTTACCAAAATGTTATTCTGATCGATTTTTATTCAAAATATGTGGAAATACTTATTTTGAATGATACAGTATAAGGAAAAATGATTCCAATTTTAAAACTAGCATTGCAGAATCACAGGTATTTTATATGGAAAATGAAGACACTGATGAATTGACTTTTTGATTTACCTAAAAGAGCATAAAGTTAAGGTAAGGGCTAATAAATAAAACATAAATGATAAATGATTTGATTTCAAGTAATTAACACTTTTGAAGCTACTTCTAAGTCCCTTTGAATGTACTATTCTATTTTCAGTTTACAGCATTTCATGTTTTTGCCAAGAAATGATTCATTTTATTTTAATTATAAGGAAAAATCATCACCAAAACAAAATTTTAAGCTAAAAAAATGCACAAATTAGATCTGAGAAATGTCTTTTCAGTAGTTTACAAAACAATTTTATTCACAAATGAAAGAAAAGAGTAATAGATTATAATTCATATTTTTATAAGATAAAGACTTGCAGAGGTAAAATAGTACTAATAAAAGTACTTCCTGACCTCATTTGAAAAGGCAATTGCAAATAAAATTGCAATTCAGTATAGGTTTTTCTTTAAAAGTATTTTAATAATGGAGGGAAGAGCAAAGGTGAAAAAGAAAAGTAGTTAAGCACTTGGAGGTCACCCAGAACCTCTAAGTTTTATAGCAGAGCAATTAAAAATTAAAAAAAACAGCCAGTTTCTACCCCATTTTAAAAAACTGATTTGATTAGCTTAATTGAATAACCAACAGAACCTGGCCATAAGTACTATAAATAATTTACTTCTTTTTATGTAAGTAACATTTAATTGAAGCTAAGAACCTAAAGCACGAGTAACAAATCTAATGTTTTGAAACACTTCTCATAATGTATGATAGTTCATGAATAGTGAAATGACATGTTACTTTAAATATAAGGATTATTTTAAAACTAGTCATGAGTGCCTGCAAATACAGTGCACACTAAATATTTTATGCAAAAATATGTACACAACCATAGTTAATTTTGTGTCAACTGTCCGAGAAATTCTGAACTATAAAAATAGAAGTAAATAATAAAGTTCATATTGAACAATTACTTAATTATAGTCAATCTTCGTATATCGAAATCAGAAGATCGCTTCGGCATCATGTATATTCAGTTCAGCATTGTAGGCTCCTAATTTATTGTTAAAGTGCCTAATTTTTAGCTCTGTTCCAGGTTGTGGAATTGTCCTTTAATTTAAAACAAGTCATATATATAATCATGCATATGATTGAATGCAAAATAAATCTATGAAGACATTTGCTGGCAGCAAAAAACTAATTTTATTGTAGAAATTATACATTTTCCCTAAGCTAAATACACTGGAAGAAAATGAATGGTTTACGGATTTTACATACATTAGGGCTCTACAACAGCTGATTCAATAGCACATTAGTAAGAATGAAATGTCCATTGTGATAATCAAAGAGGCGCTGAATTTGGAGTTGAAAAAAATCTAGAATTTGGTGTGATATCTACTTTTTTCTTTTTAAGCCAATTTTTTCTTTTTATCGATAAATGGAGACAGTACATTTCATATTTACTTCATGGGGTTGTTACTGGGCTAAAACATGGGCCAGTGGTTTGTAAATGTAAAGCTTTGTTGCAATCAGTTGTGAAGTGTGTTACAAATAATCTGTGACTATAACTTAAATTTTCAGTTTGTGAATGATTTACTTAATAAATTTTGTTGCCGATCTAAAGTCACATCTATAAAAGCATCTCTCATATTCAATTACATTTTCATTTGTTTTGTTGAATAAGAAAGGGTGAAGTTATAGCTATTGCTTTATGAACTGCATGTAACCAATGGCTTAACATAGCTAGGCATTCCCAGGGGAGTATGCTGTACATCAGGTCAATGTCATCTGCTATAATGGCAGAAAAAATTTCAGAACTACTGTGCCAAATTATGTTAGTAATCACTCTCCTCATTGCTTTTATAGAAATTATTTATCATATATATATATATATATGTATATATATATATATTACAATAGTCTTAAGGTTGGATCTATATCTGTATTCTGTACAGTGCCTAACAACGCCTTAATACATGTTTATTATTATTCTTAGTATTTCTATGAAATTATGTATTATAAGAAATTCAGATGTAATTAAAAAGTTATAATAGAAATAAGATCTTAAAATTTAAAAATGTATACATAAAAATCATATTATAGATCTCAAATATATTACACGTGCACAGGAAAAAAGGATAAAAGAAAATATGGCAAATGTTAAGTGGATGCTGGATAATGAGTTATGTTTTTTTCTGCTTTATACTTTTCTTTTTTATACTTGTAAATTTTTCTCTCGTGAAAACCAGTTACATTTATTTTTCCGATCCAGTTTATTATTTTAAAAGACACGCTTTATTATAAAAGTAACATCTATTCAGTATTTTACTTAGAAAAGAAAAAAAAGATGATGATGCCAAGTTAGTAACAAATAATGAAGAGCAGACCCTTATCACTACACTATAGTGAAAGCAGTTGTCAAAACTAAAGGGCGACAAAGACATCTTCTGGACATCTTAAGAACTGCACAGTTGTTTTTTAAACAAATCATCTTAGTTCCACCTAAGAGTAATAGCTGTTTAAAAACCACACATTAATAAGTATAAAATCATTCTGTATTCGGTTTGAAAAATTAAATACTACATGATTAAATTACAAACATACAGCTTTTAAAGAAGAAAAGATATACAAAATTGTTGCATACACATTGGAATTAGTCTCCAAAATACCTTTAAAACTATTTCCAGATAGATTATAAAATACAAATATTTCAGTAAAAATAATCTATTTTCATGTAAGGAACATGTAAAGTAGTATGAAAACCATATGCGATGTTGAACCAATACTTGAAAAATTTAAATAAGATATTTCATGAATCATAGAGTCCATTTATATCAAAGTATGATTGACAATTTAAGTCATTAATTTAAATAACTGTATTTAACAAATAGAAAAGCAAATTTAAAAACATATTTGAATTATTTGTGATATTATCCTAGAACGATGAAGTGTAATATTTTAGAAAAGTTATTTCAAGCAAAATATAATTATTAAGGGTCCAAATTATAAATGTGTCCACTCAGCTTGAAACATGTATTCTTTTTAGCCTAAAACCGCTTGTAAAATTATATCATTATGGCCACAATAAACAAATTTTGTATATGAAATAGTACTCTTCTTCCTAAAGCATATGAATGACTGGTTGCACCCACAGTTAGCCACCTTCAGGAAGTACCATTGATCCCCAAGATTTGCTTTTCTAAACAGTTCTGAGGGCAGACCCAGTTTGAGGGTATTTTTTTTTTTTAAGTATAGTCCTAAAAAGCTAATCTGTAGTTCAACTAGCAAAACTCAGTTTGCTTTTGTAATCGTTGTGTTTTGGTAAGAAATGTGTGCTTTAGTTTCAAGTAACCCCAAATGAGCAGATATCCTACAAATGAAAGTGTGCTTATTTCCTAAAATTACCTTTCTTAGTACCTTCATAGGATAGGCCATAATGAGATTTTGTAACTAAATGCTTCCAGTACCAGTACTAAATATTTGATTCTTTGGGCTTCGTTTTATATCTTTTCAAATTGTTGTAATATATAATAAGTTCATGATTTTTCTCATAGAGAAATTTAAACAAATAATTAAGATAACCATAAAGAAAATCTGAGAGATGATATTAAATAAAATTCACTAAAGGTGATAAAGATCTTCATAGGGAACTGAAGTGCTTCAGTAACATGAGTAACATGATTATCTTGTACTTTTCCCATCGACATTCTCTGCTAGGTTTTGCACAATTACTAAACAGAAATATGTTTCTTGGTGTATATGCATTTCTCTTTAGGCAGTTACATTTGATTTACTCTTGGGAAGTGGCTGCCAGGAATTCTGTCAGAAATAAAATACTTAATTAGTCAAACAATGGTAACTTAACTTCTTAATGGATCAGTTTACTTAAGGTAATTCTGCGGTAAACAGTTTCTGCATTTTATATGTGTACAATTTGAAAAGACAAAAGAAAAGAGGAAATGATCCCATTTTTGGCTACTTAAACATCAGAGTATCCTGAGGACTCAGTGGGACGTGACTGATTATAGCAGGGAAGCTGGTACGGCAAGAGCTGGGCCTAAGCTAGTTCTGCTGCTGAGTCGGTCACTCTAAGGTGAGCCAGAGCTTGGCTAGAAAGAAGCTGGGGAACAGGCAATAACTGGAAATCTAGGCAAACAGGTGTTGAGCAGCAGAGGGGATTCTTGAGATGTAGCAGGTTCCTAGTCATTGTGCTAGCATCTAGGACTAGAGTCCAGGCGGGAAGAAGTGCAAATGGGAACTACAAGGAGAGGTTGGAAGAATTTACAAAATTCTCAGTCTTTGTGCTTTTAGAGAGTTGAATTTATCTATTGTTCAAAACATAAGTGAACTGCTTTGTATATTCAATGGGTAGAAGTGACTTGGGAGGAAATACAATTAAAAGTAGTTCCAATGTAATTATTTCAATTTTCTCTCACATAAGTACTAGGTGATCACTATTCTACCTTGATAGCCATTTCGAAGCCTCTTTGAATTATAATGTAAATACACTGGATTTTGGGAAAGGTTTGGTGGATTTGGGGAAGAAGCCCTATGCTATCTGGCAGTTATATAATAGTATATATATATATATATATATATATATATATATATATATATATATATATATAGTATATAACAATATTTAATATATATGAGCATATATATTAAATATATAATAGTATATAAACAAATATATAATATAATATACATAGTATAACAATATACTAATATACATGTAATATATATTAGTATATAATATATAATATATATATTATATATAAATATATAATAGTATATAAGAATATTTCCTGCTTTTATACATGACTAACAAATTTGGGGAGGTTTGTTTTTAATGATAAGAAATGATAATAAAACACAGAATAGCTTTACCTTGCCTCATCTTGGTTGCTCTGGTACATTGGTGCAGTTTGAGATGCCATATTCTGATGTGATAAAAGAGATGGAGAGAGATTTAGCCCTTTGAGTTGCCGAAAAGCTATTTCTGCATGGATGCTCCTAGGATTATTTGTCAGAATCCCTGCATTCTTGTTTTTTTTGTCTGAAATTAGGAATTATGAAACAATGAGAATCATTAAGTAATAAAATAAAGTAATGAAATGTGGTTGTCCTTTAGCTGAATGTATCCTATACATATTTTGTAACATGAATTAAAAATTTTTGTGGGGGAGGAAAAAATTTTTAATAAAGTTATAGAATTGGAATATATTTCTAGCACTTAATGTTGCTTAAATTTCTCTGAGCTAGTGAATCAATTTGATCCTTTCTAGGTAATTTAAAAAATATAAATATCCAGAGCTGCATGCTATAATAAATGTACAGATAAAGTGACCATACTTTTCAAAATAAAAATTGGGGTAACATAGTCAGGAAATAGGAAAGAAATTACAGGACTTTTCCAGAAAATCCTAAAAAAATAGTCACACAAAAATTCTTGAAGATATCTGAGAAGGAAGTTATGGAAAATAAATCCAGGATTGAACTGGATGTCACCCCCAAAACAGATATTGAAGACATTCCTGAAGATGACACTGTACTGTTAAGGAGGCTAATAAAAATTTGGTATGTCCAGTTTTACTGTTAGTTATATCTACTGAACAAAAGCATAAAAATTCTCACTATGATTAAACCTTGAAACCATAAGTATGTACAATTATGAAAACTAAGTTAAACAAAAAATAACATCTTAACAATAAATTATGTGTTTTTTTTAACTGAGTTTCCTTTCAAAAAAATCACATAGAGCAATCTACTCTTCTTAGTAGGCTCTTAGGTCTTTTGTGTGTGTGTGTTATGTTCATTTTTATTGTCTAATGGAGTTCTAAGGCAATGTGAGATATTAAAAAGGAATGGAAGAGGTGAACCCCTCAGAGAAGGAGTAGCTACCTCCGATTTCACAAATATGGTAGCCAGTGAAGATCTGGAATTAGGGAAAAGGCTTGATCTAAGCCTGAATTAAAATGTATGTAATAGAATGAACCCTTTCCTTGTCCTGTCCTCTTAATATACTTCCTCCTTTAGAACTCTATCTCTTGAAAGTCTTCCCTAGTATTAGCTTCATGAATATTTTATTTGTGGTTTCAAAGATAAAGTCTGATCTTTTATTTCTAAGATATCCTTTGTACCCCAAGAGTCTGTTGTTATCAATATTTTTAAATGTCTTATTTCCACTTTTAGCAGGATGTGCTACTAATTAACTGGTCTTAGTAGTTATTTGCTGGGAAATACACAAAATGAAATAAAAGCTTTGAAAAGAAATAAGTCAGGAAATAAATGTGCAAGTATCACAAAGTTCAAATCTAGAGCAAATGTTTAGTTACAACATATTAGTTAAGCAGAGCCAAAAAATACTGTAGACTTTTTGGAATAAGGATGGCCACATGAAACTTGAACAAACATGCAATTTTAGGGAATGTAAATTTACAAGTACAATTTTAAGTAGTATTAGAAATCAAAGTGACATTTTTGTTTCAAGTGAAGTGTTTGGTTGTTTTTGTTTTTTACAGTCCCTCTGTAAGGGTTTGGGTGAAAAAGGTAAAGGGATTAAGACGTACAAATTGGTAGTTACAAAATAGTCATGGGGATGCAAAGTACAGCACAGGGAGTGTAATCAATAATATTGTAGTAACTATGTGTAGTGAGTGCCAGGAAGGTGGGTGGGTACTAGACTAATTGGGGGGATCACATTGTAAATTACATAAAAGTCTAACCGCTATGCTGTACACCTCAAACTAATGTAAAATACTATTGAATGTCAGCTATAATAAAAAAATAAATACCTTCAACTTCAGGAGTTAAAGTGAAGTCAGATCCCAAGTAATGGCTAAATCCACCAGGCAGAATTATGTTTGTTATCTTTATGGGAGGAGGTTTCACTTGGCCAAATGATCCACCATCCACAGGAGAGCTGGTAACAGGAATAAGCTATAAAATAAAATAAAACAGTTAAGGACCCTCACCTTCAAAGCTTAAATCAATAGGTGTAGTCCTTATTACAAGCCTCACTTGATAATCAAATTTTTTAGGTCATGATTTATTTACTTGCCCAAACTCAGAGTTGATAACAGGCAAAACATTTGTGAAACAGTCAGTCCTTGGGCCATTAACTTCCCACAGAACATCATGTTCGTCTTTTCAGATTGCATTGTACTCATCACTAGAATCTAGTGTGGTGGCACCTCTCCCTCTCCAAAGGGTCTTAACAAGGAAAGAATGGAATAAGAAAATAAGAGGTAAGCCTTTTCCCCTGTGTAATGCGTCTTCTTTTTCTGAACAGGAGTTTCTGGATGGTAGGAGTTATATCTTCTACATCTTTGTCTTCCTCACAATACCTCATCAGGAACCTTGCAGGTAATTAGTTTTTCAAAAACAAACAAAGTGGGGATTAAGAAAAGCCTCTTAGAACAATCACTTTTAATGAGTGTGCTAACTCTAAATAGTGTTTACATTTTTTATGTTAGTTGAGGATTAAGAGGCTTTTTAAAGAATTTCTGGAATCAGCAAATGGAGGAGAGAAGTATTTTAGGCTGGAGACTCTAGATTTCCCTAGAAATTTGTAACTGCTCTCTGTCTTCATTAAGATTGATCTTGCTTACACTTTTAAAAATATAAATTCTGAATATACAATTCAATTTATTTAGAGATTCAGGCTTTTGCCATTTGTGTAAAATTACCGATTTCCTTCATACGTCAGTGTTACCAAGAATGCAGCTTTGTAATGAACACTGAAGTATCAGCCTTTTACTAAAGCTGGCCAGTTCCAAATTCCCTAACTAATTCTTTTGTGGGGGAATCTCTACTCATCACTAATCTACAATGTTGTCAAATTTTCTTACGAAACCAAAGTACCAAAAGTGTTCTAATGTAAAGGACAACTTTAGATTTCATTTATTCTTTCTTTATCTGCTGTTACAAAAGAACGACTAGCAGCAACTAAAACAAAGATTAATACAATCGACTGAACTGATGAAGTTGAAAAGTATTTCATTCTTGTCTCCTGAACAGCTACAAGAAATAATGGCTTAATTTTGTTCTAGACATGAAAATAAAAATTATTATTGAATCTTAAAGTAGATTTCTCTAAAATACAGACTTCAACTACCACCTTTATTTTACTAATCATGTGTAGAGGAATCAAAACAATTTTTAATAAAATGTTTACATATAAAATAAGTAGAAAGAATTAAATTCCAATACACGGAACTGATTCAAATGACAAGAATCACTCAAGACAACATCATAATATAGTAATGGGAAAATGAGTTCACTATATGAGAAATAGAATAGCCATCAAGCAAATTCTTTAGTGAAATACTCATCATTGATTAAAATTTGAGTTTATGTACTTTTTCTGCTATATGAAACCAATTAAAAATATAAATGGAAATTAAGATCTTTAAAGTTGCTCTAAGTGATTTCTTTATATGTTATTTAGTGAATTTATGTGTAATTTATGTGGACTTCTTTGAATTTAGCCAAAATTACCTTAAAATAGAATTTATAAATTTTAATGTGACAATTTGTATAGGTGCCTCACTGGAGCCCTCACGTATGTGGTGTGGTAGGCAGAATAATGCAGCCCTCTCATAAAATGTCCCCATCCTAATCTCCAAAATCTATGAATATATTACCTTACATGGCAGAAGGGACTTTGCAGGCATAATTAAATGAAGGCTTTTGAGATGGGGAGATTTTCCTGGATTGCCTAGGTGGGCCCAATCCAATCACAAGGGCCCTTATAAGAGGGAGGCAGAAGGGTCAGAGTGAGAGAAGATGTGATGATGGAAGCAGAGGTTGAAGTGATGCCATTGGGAGAAGAGGGCCATGAGCCAAGGAACGCAGATCGCTTCTAGAAGTTTGAAAAAGCGAAGAGCAAATTCTCTCCTCGAGCTTCCAGAAACAGTGCAGCCCTATAAAACTGATTTTTGGACTTTTGACCTTAGAACTGTAAGATAATAAATTTGTATTGTTTCAAGCCACTAAATTTGAGGTAATTTGTTACAGTAGCAATAGAGCAACAGAAAACTAAAGTTTTCTTTAGTTTTCCACTTGTGGAAGCAAGAAGTGACTTGCTCCAGGGATATAAAATAGAGAAAAGAAAAGGAAACTGAAATCATTGAACTAAATTTTATTTAGTTATTTGTTCTCTTTTGAAAGACTGGAGCCTGTGACAATAATTTTAGTAGATGACATTAGATGGTGCTCTTTCTTAGATATAGCATACAGAGATTAGTAGCTAACATTGTTTTCACAAAGCATAGTTTTTGGAAAAAATTTTCGTAGCTATAACCCACAAATGAATCAATTTCCTTTGTGTAATCTAGATAATCTTTATTAACAACTTTAAGTCTCACAAGTCTCTAAAGCCACTTTGACCTATAATAGAAGCCTCTTGGTTAAAAAAGTCAAGGTTAATAAAAAAGGGAATAATGAAAAATTATATGTATAATTTATATTTATCCTTGCAAAAAATTAAAACATAAAAGTACACAAACTCACCAGTCTTTTGATGAAGGGCCAAGGCCTTTTCTGTAAGCAAGAGTCCCTTGATTGTTATTTTATCTGATTGTTCTTGGATAAATGCACCCTTAAGGTGTTGGCTACAATATGTAGTTTTGGTTTCCTTAAAAGTAGCAAAAATTTACAGACATGGAGAAAATTTGCAAGAATCTGTCTAGATTTAAAAAAATAATATTCCCACATATTTTGTCTGAATTTTTACAATTTTCTCCCATATTTTGCAGGTTTTTTCCCTCCCAACCCAATGTGACATTATGTGTGTGTGTGTGTGTGTGTGTGTGTGAGAGAGAGAGAGAGAGAGAGAGAGAGAGAGAGAGAGAGAGAGATTCCAAATGATCCCATTTGGTTTTCATAAAAACAGAAAAATAATAATTTAAGTTTTGCATTTATATCTGTTTATTGAAAAGAACTAACATAAGTTTTTGAAAAAACACATCCAGCTCTTGATAAATATGTGAATTTATAGCTGAAGGTAGAAGTGGACCAGAGAGGGAGGAGTCTAATACCAAATGTTCAGTGCTCTAGGAATCTGTTTTACAGAGAGAATGGAGAGGGTCAGGTAATCAAGTGAGTTAAGTGAAAGCATCTAAAATAGTCTTATCTCTTTCCTCAATATAACTTTTAAAAGTAATCTTCATTTACTAATGTCCTTGGTCTCCGGCTTTCACATTAGAGGTTCACTTACATTCTCACTGCCCCTCTTAGTCTAAGGCTCATAATGTCTCTCTTGGATGACCCTAAAATTGCTTCCCTGTCTTCAGTCTCTTTTTCCCCAAACCTTGAAAAGGCACAGCTCTAATAATGTTACTTCTTTGTTTGTTTTTTAACTATATCTTTTCTGTCTAAAGACTAAAATGTTAAATTTAGTCTTTGGAGGATGGTCATGAAGAACCCTGGTGGTCAATGACAGAATTTCCTAATGATAGACACTTTGGTGGCTACTCTTTCTAATTTCTTTCCTACTATTAGTCAGATACCTTTTTAGGGTTCATGGGTAAAAGGCCCAATGATTCTGTCAATGTACAAGAAAAGAGGTACACATCTCTCTCTTTAGATGAACTATACAGTCCAGGGAGTTCAGGTCAGAATCCCTTCCTTCCCTTACTATTTGGCTAAGTGGAAAGACTTTTATTGTTAATTTCTGTGATATGTTGTGCTTTCTTACCTTCTACCATTATCAGACATCTTGAGCAAGAGGCACATAGATTTTAAATAATTTGCTTCAAGTCAAAGTATATTGTTAGAACCACTAAATAGATTCTAAAATAATCTACAAAAACATCATAGCCTAGGTTTAAATATTTAAGTAAAAATGCACAATACATAATATAATGTTCAAGTACTAATAATTTATATATTTTAAAAGAAAAAGTATAAATAATGTAAGTATTACCGAATTTTTCTTTGCCTGTAGTTCAGAGAAGTGAAATTCAGCTTTTGCCCTATCATCTGAATTCACAGGAATTCCATCTAACATTTGCAAGTTAGGCAGTTGAAATATGAGCATGTGGCGATGTAGCATTTTTCTGCAAATCTGAATAAAGTTAAAATTAACTTTTTTCTTACTTAAGAAAAACTTTTATTTCAAAGATTAACTTTTATAGAGAAGGAAACTTAGCATAGGCAGCAAAGATGAGAGATGATACAAACATGAACTCCCTTTTTGAAAGATTTCTCAATTCCCTATTATCCAAATGAAACTAGAACTTTTTTTTTTTAAGATTTTTTTATTTTTTATTGGGGAATTGGGGGGATGGGAACAGTGCTGGGGAATTGGTGGAAGGGGAACAGACAAGTTGCTGTCATTTTGTTCTTCAGTCTAGTTGTGGAGGACGTTGCTTCACTGGCCCAAGTTGGCACCATCATTGCGCTCTT